GCAATTTCGTTCTCTCGAGAAACACGAGATGCCCGCGTGCACAACATATTGGATCTTATTATATGCGAAGATAACGAGGAGAGAAAGAGAAAGAGGAGGTTTGAGATACGAGACATTTGCGTGAGATAAAGAGAGAGAGAGAGAGAAAGAGAGAGAATCTCTTCTCCCCTCGTTGTATTTTTCTTCCTTTTGGACGTTTCGCGAGATTTGCCCCGTCGATGAGGTCGAGAGGTCAAACGGAGCGTATATTTACACGCTACTTTGTCGGTCGCGATACGCCCGGAAGCACGTTCGAGGAAAAGTTCGCTTGCTTGAGAAGGAAACCGCGATCGCGCGAAACGCGAAACGAAGAGAATCCCTTCGCGCGGGAAATTAGGAGGCTGCGTGCCGCGGGATCGCGTGCGCGGAAACAGTAGCTAACAGAAAGAGAAAGAGACCTTTCGCGACCTCACGCGTGACGCGGTTTTTCGCTTGTATAATGTGTGGCTTCACGGCGGCGAGTTGTAATTACACCGTCCGTTCCGACTGACGGCGGCTTGTACGCAATCGTCGTAAAAAGAGTATATTGCTGCGTAATCTGTGTGGAAAAAAAATATATATCGACACACATTTTCATTACGCCAATATTGATACGCTCTGCGAAGCAAATCAAAACTTAACGTAAGAAGAGAAAAAGATACGGAGAACTATCGAAAATCGAACGTAAACTGAAATTTATTTTGTGAAAAAAAAGAAAACTTATGCGATGAAAGTCTATCTACGTATTGAAAGGACGAGCAAACATTTCGAATCACACGATATCTTTGATAAGAAATAAGAAATCAATCTGTTACAAATCTGTGCAAACTTTTTATTTTAATAAAAAAAAATCTTTTCGATTAATCATACATATTGTTATTGCGATCAATGATGAGATAATGCTTCTCAATAAAACATTATATCACTAAGAAGATTGCGATCAATGCAATGATTTTTGTTTCAATAATATCTGATTGGATTATATAAGTGTCCAAAACATAATAAAATTGATTGATGTTTCAAGTAACATTGACGTAGACGTTAAAAGCCAAGTCAATGTTACATCCAATGTTGGACGTAACATTGACTTGGCTTTCTAACGTTACAGCAGTTTCGTTCGGTTCTCTTTTAATAAATATGCTAATTTGCATTTTTTTTTTTCACACGAGCAGATGCAAAACGTTTGACGAGAATCACAAAAGTATTTGCTACGCGGCGCCAGACTATCTTGAGTGTCATTCGCGTGAAGTGGCGAATAATAAAAAAAAAAAAAATGTTTTGAAAAGAAGAAGAAATAATAATACGCTAGAAAATTGATATTCACTTGGAATTACAGGTCTGTGCGTAGAAATCTCGTGTATTCATTACGTGACTTTCTTGTTGTAGTAAGAAATCACACGATATTGAGATTTCTCACTATCATGAATATTTTATGTATTTGTCTCGAAGCGATTTTTCTGACTTTTTTGTATTCTCAATTTTGTAAGAAAATTAAAAGGTGAAACTTTACAACAAACACATGGAAATATAAATTATATAAAAATTAAAAAAGAAATTACAGAAAAATACTATATTAAACAGAATGAAAAATATTTTACGAGTTATGTCAAATTTTCAATAACATCGAAGTTAACTTTCTTTTTTTTTTTTTTTTTTTTTTTTTTTTATTAACACAGGAGTTTGCTATTTGTAAAACGAGAAAGACAAGTTACGATCGTAGTGGAAAAAAAAAACATTCGTAGGTTTATTAACGTAAAGACTAAAATATCGACTCTCAACCACTTAAAGGGATGTGCTGTAATGTTGTGTTCGCGTACGCAACGCTGCAATTTGTTATCAATCAGCTCGTTAATTTATTATCAATCAATTCGTAAAATATATACTGCCGCGTAAAATAGCACTGTTGTACGCTGACAGTGGCACTTTCCGTCAATCATCGACGTATCGACGTATCGTTTACTGCAGTAGTCGGGCACCACTTCCCATGTTGTTAATCCACCCTTCTGCCCTGAAATCAACGAGATGAGTGCCTAACTTTTTCCCCGTATACGTACCTTACACGGCACGGCACGTTACGTGCCATGCGAGAAGCTTATACTTTGCCTCGTAACAGACATTACCAGATGCCCGCTACCGCGCGGTACATCTCTAATATGTGTATTCGAGTTTGTCCTCCCGCGGCTACGTGCACATGTACGCGGTGTCTCGAAAGTTTTCAAGTTTAAAACTCATCGCCTTTTTGCTTCGGTTTTTAAATAAGAACAAACTTTTTTGCGTCCTTTTTCGCTTATTGTTATCAGAGCAAAACTGAATCTTTTGTAGTGTCCGTATATCTGTAAAGAGAGTTAACTTGTTTGTGTTTGCATAATTTTCCTGTAATGTCTTTGTCAACTTTGTTTTTTCCATATCCCTTTTTTCCCTGTAATTGAGCCATAAATTTTATCTCTAAAATCGTTTTGCGTCACGTGTCGTTCTCTCTTCAACACGAAAATCGGATATTTAATCGAAAGATATGACGATTTTTGAACACCCCTTACATAACGATTCGCATGTGCTGGACTTACTTGCATATCTGGAAAATGCGAGATCTCACGAATGGCAATTTAACTTGTCACGTCAATATTTAAGTTGATATGTTTTGAAGCTGTTGCAAATTGAAACTTATCGTAAAATCAAGGAAAAGATACAAGATACGAAGGAAAAGATACAAGAAGAACTACATCGTCGAACGTGAAATAAAATTTATGTTGTAAGAAAGAGAAAAAAGTATGCAATAAACTATATAACGTCTTAAAAAGATGTTGCAAATAATCTTAATTACTTCTACACGATATGTTTGATGTACATAAGAAATTAATTTAATTAATTAAAAACTTAGAGTTACATTTCTATGTTAGAAAATTAGAGAGAGAGAGAGAGAGAAACAAGAAAAATATGTATATGTAGTTTGTATATGTAACAAATTAATTGTATAGGTACAATATTTATATATTTTATTTATTTACTCAGGCAATAAAACATCTAGAGCGACAGTGATGCTAAATGTAGAATCTAACGTTGGTTTAAATAAGTAAAATATATTATTTATGTACATTCCTTGATATTTAATATCAAAAAATCACAGATAAATCCATTTTGCGGTCATTTTCGATTTAAATAATTAAGTTTTGCTATCTGTATGCACATAATCAACGTTGCATAAGCATAATATATTGATAATGTCTATAAATAATTATGTCAATATGTGTTACATTTGATAAAAGTGTAATAGATATATGTAATAAATACTGCGCATCATTCTAAAAATGAATACCAATAATAGAAGTTATTTATTGCTAAGAACAGACTATATATGATTAAGAGTTGTGTATGCGTATAATTTTTTGTGTATGCGTATAATTTTTTACTACGTCATGAAAGTGAAATATATAACATGTCAATGCCATATAAATATACAATAGAATCTTAATTGCGAACTGCATAATTAGTCTTTTTTACACGCACAATGTTTGTTTCTTTTTTTCAAATCGATGTTGATGTTGGTTTCTTGTGAGTTCGTGATCAAATTTAAATACATTTTGTTTTTTAAATAGATCAAGATTATACTGCAAGACACATAAGAGAACGTATAGCATGCATTCGTTTTCAGCTTTCAAAAATCAAAGTGTAAAGGTCAATAAAACTAGTTTGTTTTACGATTTTTAACACTTTTAAAATTGGTGTACAGTAGATTTACGTTGATACACGTTGGCGAAAGAACTGTAAGGTATTGAGAACGATTACTTTCCCTCTCAGCGCAGTTAGAGACTGCAAAAAGAAGTATTGAAGCGTATCAAGTACATATAGAGAGATGCTGCGTCATTGAAACTTCAGTCAAAGAGCGACTAGTGTCGACTAAAGTGGAAAGATAGTGCGTAGGAAAGATATAAACCTTCTTTGTATCTACGGATTATTTACCAAGATTATTTATTGTAAAAGACAAAACTTTTATAAATACCTATAAAATATATTTAACAAAATATATTTAATAAAATTTTAATATAAATCTTAACGTACATTTCTTAAAACTCTGTCGTATCTTCGTGTGGCAAATAAAAGTTCATTGTAAACCAATACTATGTAATACATATATATCAAAATTGTGTAATATGTAATAAGTTTGTATATTTATTAAATTTATATACACGTATAAATTTATATATACTTGTGTATAAAAAAGTAATAAAAAAAATTTTATTATTTTTTAAAAAGTTTATTATTTTGTCAAATTGAAATATATGTTACATTTCGTCTAATAATGTACATTAATTATAAGTTTAACGTTCAATCAATGTGTCATCTCTACTTAACATTGTAAAAATATATTACGTGAACAATAACATATTGAATAAGAAAATGTAAGATAAGACCGTTAACATATCGGACACAACAAATTTCATATATGCGAACCAAAAGCACAACAGGCTAATATAAATTTTGATTAAAAAATTATAAATAGTAATTAAACATAATGACGTGGTATAAATAACATAAGAAAAGATAAAAGATTTGTCAATCATTTAGAATTATAACAACAACAATTATTATCCAATCAATTTGATATCATGTATTTCTCGCTATCGAGTTTATGGAATGTTACAAACAATTGACTGAACATAAAGAAATATATTGCACGTCAAATAAACAATTAGATAAGAGAAGATAAAAGGATTTATCAAACAACGAATCTGACGCCTCAAATTACAATTTAGATTAGATAGATGTTTTGCTATCTAATTTTAACAACATTTTTTAAGCGAGAAGATACACGCGCAATTAAATGTATATAATAAAAAATTTATTTCCTACTTGTCCTCGGTTTGTTGTCAAGTATTATTATCACTTTGTTGATGTTGGAGGGAGAATTATTTCCATGACCGAAGAGGGGAGCTTTCTTCACATGTGTGTCGGTGTGTATAAAGTTACACTCTCAGATTCTTTACAATAAGCTTGAGTATCGTAACATATAAATACAGTCGCGTGCACAACGTACAAGTTTAGTCGGTTGTCACATTCTCCGTATAACGTATCAGATCGTAGTAAACTCGATATCTGAATATTTTGTTCCCTTAATTTTAATAAGGTGAGAGAGAGAGAGAATCAGCTTTGCTAAAAACAAATTGTGTTGTATTATTTGTGTCTATTTTTCTTTTTGCATTTCCACAATAATAATTGTGCGAATATCTGTGTACATCGCTGAGTGCATATTTAAATATGTGACATTTGCGTATATATACTTCGAAATAAAACGAAGTTAAAGAAATAATTAATTGTTTAAATTTTTGTTCCAGCATCAGTTTCATTAAAGAAAGTTATTTTGATTGTGTGTGTGTGTGTGTGTGTGTGTAAATTCAACAAATACACTTTTCAAAAGTGGAAACATTTTTTTTATCTTATATTTTAGTTATCTTGTAATTAATTTGTTCGTCTCACAAACGCAAAACTAAATATTTTACATGCTAATATAATCGCTCAAAAAAAATAAATTAAAACAATTTTTTAAAAACTCTAAACTGAGTGAATTAATTTGAACGGTGTTTTCTTTTATATTGCATTTTAAAAATTTAAGCTTTTCAGCGCATGCGCTTATAGTTTACATTAAAATAAGGCCTTTTCTAAGAGATATTTATGCGATGAATAAACAATCCATTCTATTTTATGTAAATTGTATGTATGTTATGTACATAGTATAGCGTTTTCCGTCACAAAACTGCATAACTTTGAACTGCAAGAGCCGATTTTGATGATAATTTTTCGTAAAAATTTATGCTGTCAAATAATGTTGATATTGGTGCATAAAAAAATTCACCGACACGCATTGTTTTTAATGATTGACAGTACGTTTTTGCTGACATTTTGTGACAATTTTATCGACAACGTTTTTTCTTGACGTTGATTTTGCGACATCGAATTTTAATCGCGACTATTTTTTATTTCTTTATCAACGTTTCTTTAGAACGTAGTAAGAATTTTGATAATCTCACAGACTATAAGAGTCTTACAACGTTCTCGACTATCTGTTAACAAACTTACATTGTTTATTGATACAAAAACATTAGAAAACGTTGGAATATATTTTATAAAAAAATATATATGCAGAAAGGGCCGATACGGAGTGAAATACTAGGTGTTGATGTATGAACAATAATCTTTATTTAAACATGCCAAACGTTTCGACTCTTGGTTTGAGTCATCTTCAGTGGCATACAAAAATCTACATAAATAAATTAATATAAAAATTACAAAAATCAAAGAAACAGTACAGAAAAGAAACCTTAAAACCTTATTTCTCGTTTCTGGAAATATACAAATCGAAGTGATGGTTCACCTTTAAAGACTTTATTATTGTTATTGTGGTGNGGAACAAGTACTTATATATCCGAACTTTGTAAAGGCTGTACATCAGTTGTGTAGTTTATGTTTCTTGTGTACTATCTAACTTGAGACATGGAAAGAGAACATTTTTGGTTTTTTGAAACTTTGTGATGAATATCAACTATTTGATATCTCTTCCTTATTGCAGGGTGATGTACTGCCTATATTTNTCTTAATGGTGAGTTGTAATTATTGCTTGGTATCTTTTCTGTACTGTTTCTTTGATTTTTGTAATTTTTATATTAATTTATTTATGTAGATTTTTGTATGCCACTAAAGATGACTCAAACCAAGAGTCGAAACGTTTGGCATGTTTAAATAAAGATTATTGTTCATACATCAACACCTAGTATTTCACTCCGTATCGGCCCTTTCTGCATATATATTTTTTTAACAATTTCACGGAGTATAAATCAAACAATTATATTATTGAATATATTTTATGATAATATTTTACTGTGCCAATTTTTAACATACTTTTCCAAACACAGAAGATGGTTTGCTGCGAATAACGCGTTACCTTTATATCGGTAGCTGCTTGTATCTTTATATTTACAACATTTTTTTCACATGCTCTTTTTATTTTTGTTTTTTACATGCCGTACAGTACATAGAGCATCTTTATTTTGCGATTTTTTATATTCACAATTTATCGAAAAGTCTTGCTTTATTACGACTTGAAAGTGCTATTTCTGCTTACGGTATCAGTGGAACTACTTCCTGTAAACATGAACTCGCAACGAACTTTGTTATCGGAGTAAATGTTCGAAAAACTATACCATATCACGTGTGCGCGAAAGCGATACATTTATTAATTAAGACAAAAAATATAATGTAATGGTCGACGGCGATCAAAACAATAATATCGAGAAAAGATATTGAAACGTTCGTGAAGATCGACAAAATGCATGTCGGCGAATTTTACGTGATCCATAATGCACTTTTTCACAATGCAGTTCTGAAAGATATAACGCGAGATGTTATCGCGTATCTTATATGATTAATATTCTTTGTTCTCCAGACACGTGCGGGCAATATACATTTATTTACAAAACCGTTTATCACAATGGCGATTATAACGACTTACTGGGGTCTCGACGGTCTGATAATTTTTACTACCATCATGATAGCCGCCTATCTCTACATGACCCGCAAGTTCAAATACTGGAAGAAACGAGGAGTCTTGGAAATTCCACCCACACCTTTTTTTGGCAATTTTACGGAATGTCTGTTTCTGAAAAAGTCTCCGGCGGATTATCTGAAGCAGCTGTACGATCAGGCGAAAGGATTGCGTTACATGGGCTTCTATATATTCGACAAACCGTTTCTGCTGGTCCGCGATCGTGAACTCGTCAAGAACATCTTAGTCAAGGATTTCAATCAGTTCAATAACCGGTACAACACGGCGGATCCGAGCGATCGTCTGGGATACGCCAATCTTTTTTTTATGAGAGACGAGTCTTGGAAAACTCTGAGAGTCAAGTTAACGCCGTTCTTCACGTCCGGCAAAATGAAGAAAATGTTTTATCTAATGACACAATGCACGGACCATTTGGGAGCGTATCTTGACGCGTTAGGTCTGGAAGGTAAGTTTCTTTTTTTTATTAATTTTCCATTGTTACACGAAGACTTTATTGCTCACATTTTAATTTTAATTCCTTATAAAAAGAGATACATTTGTGATATCCGGCGACGATTTTATGTTGGCAGGTAACGGCAAGGAGGTCGAAGTGAAAGAATTGACCGCTAAATTCACCACGGATGTGATAGGCAGCACCGCTTTCGGCCTCGACGTGAACTCGTTCAAGGATCCGAATGCCGACTTCCGCAAATACGGCAAGATGATATTTTACTACAACATCGTTCGCGGTTTCGAGATGCTCTCAATATTTTTCTTACCGAGCGTCGTTCGTATGGCTCGCGTAAAGATGATGGGAGAGAAACCTACCGCTTTTCTGCGTAAGGTGTTCTGGGAAACGCTCACCGAACGCATGAAATCCGGCGAGAAGCGAAACGATCTTATCGACATTCTCATCGAGCTCAAGCAGAATAACTCCGATCAAAATATTAACGGATTCGGTAAGTACCGATTTTTGTTTGAACTAAGAAATTTTGAATATGCGAAAACACCGTGTGTGTGTTTGATAACCGGTTAAAAGTACACTTTAAAAATCGAATTTTGTAGAATTTGACGGAGACGATCTGTTAGCGCAAGCAGCGAGTTTCTTCGTGGCCGGTTTCGAACCTGCTTCAACTACAGCGACTTTCGCATTGCACGAACTCGCGGTGCATCCCGAAATACAGGACAGATTGAGAAAAGAGGTTCTCGAGGCGCTCGACAAAAACGATGGCAAAATTACGTACGACATGGTATTGAGAATTTCGTTCTACGTTGCGCCAATAATTTCGATATGAAAATATCGCACGAGCGAATGTCGATATTGTTTTCAACGTTGTTTTTTTCTCCTTAGAGATACCATTTATTTTAATCTTGAAATTGTTGTAGCGCGAGATGTTATCTGTAGAAAAGAACCAAACATCACATTTTGTTTATCAGGTCATGTCGCTGCCGTATCTAGACATGATAGTGTCCGAGACTTTGCGATTGTATCCGACATTGGGGTATCTGAATCGCATGCCGAACGACACTTACAAGGTGCCAAATTCGGATCTCGTGCTCGAGAAGGGCACGCCGGTTTACATATCGATGCTCGGCATGCATCTCGATCCGCAATACTTTCCCGAACCGCACAAATTCGATCCGGAAAGATTCAACGAGGAGAACAAACGCAACATACCGCCCTGTGTCTATTTCCCATTTGGGGAAGGTCCGCACGCGTGTATAGGTAAGTAATTAAATAAAAGTGTCAAAAAAAAAAAAAAAAAGAAGACCGTAATAAAATCGTGGATATTTTGCAGGTAATCGTTTCGGGCTCTTGCAGACCAAACTGATTCTTTTCAAAATCGTAAGCAAAGTCAAGATATCACCGAGCAGCAGAACTTTAATACCAGCTCAAGTTGAACCAAAAGGAGCTATGTTATCACCGTTAAATAACGTGTTATATCTCAACCTCCAAAAGCTTTAGTTATAGCAACGCTATGTAAAGTGTAACAATATTGTAGTGTGTATTGTCAAAGAGAAAATGCAGAATTCGGTGTTTCAAATAGCGACGTGTAATTTGATGACGCCACCATGTGTTAACATGTGGCTGTTAAATACATGTATATTTAAAAAAAATATATACTAAGTAGCAAATATATGTATATTAAAAAAAATTAAATATATATATGTATATTAAAAAAATGAAATATAGTGTATATATAACACCACGAGACAGTTTTATAATTTATGTAGTAGACGTGTGATGCTATTGATATTTTAAAATAATCCCTTGAGATTCGATATCTTCATCGAATTCAAAATTACGGCGGTGACGCCGATTCTCAACGATTCTCGCGTTTCCCGCCGCAATTTGTTGACGTTCGAACGTTCGAGCGGAATTGCGATCGCGATCGTAAGTAGCGACCGATAGTGGGTCGGCTCGAGTTTGCTTTTCATGTCGGTTCTGCACCGATGCACGTGTATACATCACAAACTAGAACTACACGATGTGAATATAGCACGGAAAAGAACCCTGGACATGGGTATACTCACCGACCAGCTTCTCGCAAACTTGGCGACGTAGTTGCCACAGTGCGCCAATAAGTGGACATAGCGCTGGCGAACAGAACGGAAAAGGACGATAACGTTAATTTTTGTTGATTGAGTTATCTTGGTATTACAGATTTTTTATACAAAATCTCGATACAGTCCCGCCTTTAGATTACAAAAAAGCAAAACGGTATCGATTCTTGGTGGCTATATGCGACTTTTCGGAATCGATTTTTTTTCCGTCTCTTTTATATTTTTTAAATTGTTTCTTTTCCTTTTTGAAAGAAAAAGAAGCACGACAAAAAATCGGAATTATTCCGATTGGAATTGACATTTATTTGGAAACGTCAAAAGTCGAACAACGTTGCTTCGACCACTTCAACGTTACAACAACAAAGAATAACGCGAGAAATTAATGTCTTTTTTTCAAATACATGTCTCTGTCACTGGCAGAATGATCAGTTTTCTTTTATTTATTGATATATTTCGTGTTTCATATGTAGAGAAAAGCCACGAGCAGCTTGGCTTTCCGATGTGATGACACGTGTGTGTGTACGTCATGTTTATATACATGCATATGTATATGTATATATTTATTTTTCTCATTCACTTACTTTCATTTACAAAAAGACTAACGATCGTCGTCGTCCACGTGGGCAGCTACTCGCCGAGCGATCGCGTGTAACCACGTGGATTATTTACTTAAAATTATGCTCCTATAATATATATATATTTACTATACATATACATATATATACACGTGTATGTATATATGTGTATATATACGTACAAAACTACGACATCTTGGAATCGAGTGGAATGACAGATACCATTTATCGATAGTATCTTATATGTGTATCTTATATTTTCCTCCGCACGCAGCTTTTCTTTGGTGACGGTGAATTTTGCATTTACCGATCGCAGCGAACTTCGCAAATAACGCGCGCTTGTGTGTAACGACGCTTAAGCAACAATTTTTTTTATTTTTTCCCACTTTATATAGTATACCTCCTGTAACTTAATTAGCGACAAATACCGAAAAGATTGTATTTGTATAAAGACAGTCTGGTGTACCAGTTGTGGCACACTTTTCTTACGTATTTTCCGAAACGTTTGAAAAAAAAACTACTTGATTCTTCGCACGTAAGTCAACGCACGTTGAATTACGACCGCAGCGTAAATGTGCCAAAGTGACGAATTCTTTTCGAGAAATGCATTTCTCGCTCGTTTGACGTAGAACGATCTTATCGTTCACAATTGCGCGATTGTAAAAGAAAATAATTACCGTCACCGCGGAATAGCAATCAGTCAATGGGGTGTGGGATTTTCGCGAACACACATATACCACGCGCACGCATTCACACACACACACGCGCGCGCGCGCACATACACTAACACACATGGACTTACTATATTTCTACGTACATAATTATACACACTTTGATCGTACAATACTGTAATATCATATGTATATATATATATATATATATTTATATATATATATATATATATATTTATGTATAGCGTATTGATATAATAATAATAATATTATTAATATCGCTCTAGTAACTCGCCCGCGAGCATTAACCGTGTGTTTTTGTTCATCCTCCTCGTATTTGTCAGGTAAATATGTGTGTAATTACTTAATTATACAATTACTTTGTTCACACAAATCGAATGTACAGTCGGTCCCGGAAGTATCCGATCGTCTAAAAATCGTCCGATCGTTCGAGAGTCAATTTCATTCTGTGCGGAGAGTAAAATGTGAGACACAGACGGAAAAAGAGTGTGATCGAAATATATTTTTAGAACAAATTTGTCAATCCGTTTTCTAAGATACACGTAAAAGGTGTTTTCTATCGTTTGAGATGAAATTCTCAAACTAAGCTGAAAAATGCGCTCGCCTAAAACAGACGATGTACCAGCGCGACTAAAAACAATTTGTAAAACATACTCGAGTGTAAACTTAAGTTAACGGCCGCGTAGTTTTGTCAATATTATTTTTTGTAATTTTCCAATTTTTTTCAAACTTGTTTCGATGTTTCGATTCAAAACCATGTTGCAAAGAAGTAAAGTGTTTTTTGTTGAAAATACATTTTGAACCTCTTTGTGTATCCATAGCGCAACTTACGACTCGACGTTATTTTTCTTAGGCGGCCGAATATTTTCCGGACCAATTGTATGTATGTGTATATGTGTTTATGTTCTACACACACATATACACGTAGATATATACATACACAAAGTGTCCCCGCGTTCTTTTCTTTCTTCTTCATAGATACACACACACACACACACACACACAAAATATTCCGTATGTATATATGTATATATAAAATACACAGATATACACCTCCCGCGTATTTGTATGTACACACACGAGAGATTAGTTTCATGCATTCATTCAAATTGTATGTACGCATAAATTTCGTAACAATTAATCTAACAATGAGAGATGATTCATGACAACGATCACGACGACCGATTTCTTTTCTTTCCTCTTTAGCAAGAAATCTCAGCGATTCTTAATAATTTTTTTTTTTTTTTTTAATACAACTCTGCGTGAAAAGGGACGGCGAAAGACGGAGAAGATAGATCTTTTGAAACATGAAACTGTCCACGTGATGTTTGGGTGTTTTATTCGAATTCACAAAAAAACACATCGATCAAGATTCTTCCTTAAGAGAATTTTTTTTTTTTTTTATGATGACAATTCGTGAAATCGCTATAATATACAAGTCGCTTACTTGATTGTTTTAAACAGCGACATTTTCAAAGCCACGTTTGTTGATTATACAGCTTGTTGTAAAACTCACCGCATCTTAACAACAGTCTGTAATTACGTTTTTGTTTTGTTTTGTTTTGTTTTTTTTTTTTTTTTTATTCAAAATACACGCATTAAAACACTTTAATTCTCACACCAACATTTCACACGTCATTGCGCGAACGCATCTATTTGCAGTTACTTTTGTCGATAACGTTTAATTATATCAAAACAGAATATATGAAAATAAAACAAGATCTCGTGACGCTGTATGGACCACAAATCATCGTTGAATTATGTAATACAGCGCCTCACATAATTTTTGGGCGTAACTTTTTAATTACAAAGAACGCTTTGCTTCACCGCTTAATAAGTAATCATCATCAAAAGACGCGTGTAAAAATGTGCGGTTTCAAAAAGCTTCAAAGCAATAAAGCGGTGAATTGAATTTCTTTGGCTTATCAAGCCGTTTTTGTTTTTTGCTTCACGAAAAATATTAAAGACGCAATATTTCTTTTGCAAACGCGCTAAGCTCAGCTTTATACAATATACAGATTTCGAATATCTGGTAACTTCTGGTAAACATATATATTTGTCGTATACGTAGTGAATTGAGATGTAATTTTGGTCAGAGGATAAAAATACAATTATAAATAAACGTCGAGCGCCTCTCGAGCGCAGAATCGAATGCGGCAGGCATCCCCGATACACATGCGAGCGGAGGCGGAAAGCGATTAATACGAACGAGTTTTTTTTATTTTTTATACGCTTTATCCGGATAATTGACACGACGATATATATAATTGGAATAAGAGAGTGAGAAAGAGAGAGAGAGAGAGAGAGAGAGAGAGAGAGAGAGAGAGAGAGAGAGAGAATTTTTATTGAGAAAAAATATTCAATTGACGAGTAAAACGCGATGAACCGTGTATTACCGGTTTGATTGGCCCATTTTTTGTGTGTTTATTTTTTTAACTTTTTTTTATACTTGTTATTTTTTAATAATATTTTATAAGCGGTACAAGATATATCGAAAAAGCGAGAATCAAACAACAATCTCAACGATCATCTCGCAACGAGTTGAATTTCATTTCACGAATCTGCGAAGTGGAAAAAATTTTTTCTCAAGATCGTTCCTTTGTGTAAATCGAGATTGTTAGTCAAGACATGGGTAAGTAAGAAATTGCGAACACAAGGAAAAGTGCGACTAGTTTTGGAGAAAAGTACCCGAACGCGCTGGTGCTATCGAGATCGAGAGAGAGTTTTTTGGTTATTTGAAGGCTTTGCGAAACAACACGCGCACAAAACTTCTTTTTTGATGAATACATATAATATATATTATATATAATATACATTTTTAAAGTTAAGAGAAGACACTTTAGAAAACTCCAATTTTTCTTTATCTTTGTGCGTCGAACATTTTGCGCGATAATTTTTCATTAAATTATCGTTTCGTGTAATATTGAAGAAGTCAAATTCGAAAACTTGAATATGTATACGTGTCTCGTCGCTTATTTTATTAACATGTGGTTTTATATGCACGAAAGAATTTACAAACTAGTCATTTGGGTACCTTTGTCCAACTTCAGTCTTGAATATCAGTCGGGCACAGAGAAGGAGTGAGAGAAAGAGAGAGAAAGAAATAGAGAGTAGGCGATACGAAAGAAAAAAAGTGCATTTGATTCTTGTTCAGATATAAAGTTAGAAATGTCTTTTAGGAACATTCGCTTTGGTCGTAGTGGAGGGAGAGGGTTTTAATAAACATTGGAATATTCCGCTTAAATTTAATCTACACAGTTTGCGTAAATACGTAAGGCGAGAACGTAACTTAATTTCATTTTTTTAACAACTTCCCATGAGTAGTTGAAGTAGAGAAAAGCATTAATACTTCGATTTTCCATGTTTTTGATGAATAATGACGTCTTCGTATTATACTTTTTTAAATAAAAGGCCAACACGAGACTAAATACAGGATGTCTGTGACTAGAAAACTATAGATCTGAGGAAGATCCACAACACAAAGATCAAAACGTCTGACTTTTATCGTTTCAATAACGATCTACAGGTTTTTTTTATACACACGGACATCCTATATTTAGTCTCGTATTGGTTTTTTATTGACAATTTTTTTACGAGCAATTTTACTTCTTATATACTTTTACTTTATTTTACTTCTTGTATACTTTTCAATCTCATTTGTTTACCGCGGCATCTCGTTTGCCGTTTCCAGTGTTACGCAAACAATTCCGTCTCAGAATTGTTCTCTCGACTCAAAAAAAAAAAAAAAAAAAAATCAAAATCAAATGCTCTCTTTCGTTCCACATCGCGGAAAATTTCATTATCTGATATCTAAATATCAGCGTCGCGCCACACTGACTTTCTTCTCACATTCGCGAACATTCAGTTGTACTTTTCTTTATTTTTTCCCTGTATTCCCCTTTATTTTTTCTTCACATCTTTTATTATTTTCTTGAAATAACAAGAAAAAAATTTGACTTTTAATCTCGAGAAAGAATCACAGAAAATATATTTCGTTACGGTTATTCAGTTTCTTCGTATCTCTGCGCGGCGGGACTTGTCCGTCGAATAAAAATTAGTTTCTTTTTTTTCTCTATAGAGTTTGTCAAAATCAATTTTCATACGATCTTACGCGCAAGACTTTGACTTTTCGTTCTATTTGCGTTTTTTTGTCATATATTTGATTCAATTGACATGAATTCTGGATTCCTACGGCATAAAAGTGAGAAAAAGAGAGGAAGATAAAAACAATCGTTGATTAAACAATCAGTCAAGCAATTGACACAGAAGAATCGTTCGATCGCTCGTTCGTTCGCTCTCTCATAGAGTATGTGTGTGTGTTTGTTTTTTTTTTTTTTCCCCTCATGAAGACCGTCACGCAAAATAATAAACGCATTCAAACCTGGCGGTCGGTTTGAAGATAATAACGTAAGACTAGAGTTCAACAATACATGCGGTTTTTACTCGCCGTACAGACGCAGTTGATGAAGTATAAAAATATAAACATCTAAAAATGAAAAAAGCAGGACGTCGTTACAGACGTAATTAATTACGTTTGAGCGTGTGTGTTTCTACGTATGCGTACGTATATAGAAATTTGAATTCGGAAAACACATCAAAAAGAATTTTTGTTTTTTTGTTTTTTTTGTTTTATACGAAATAAGGAAAGATAGTCCGTCAAGAAGAACCACCCCATTAGGCTGCGTTCTTCTCTCTTTCTTTTTTGCTTACAAATGTGTGTTCTTTTTTTTTCGTGAGATTTAATTGTTCAAAGAAGACCTTTACGTTCTGAAGAAACGTGGCGAAAGTGTGTCCACTCGAGTAATTTCGGATCTTTCCACTGTGATCGACTTAAAACTGCCGCTTAAAAGTTTTTTTCAAACCGTTTTCGAAGTTGAAAACGCACGCCGGGAGCGTGGCTGGACTAGATAAAAAGATAATCCGCGACGCAATTATTTCAACAATCATCTCCGAACCGAGCGACGAGAGATTTATCATCGCGCATGTGCAAGTGTCGCTCTTAACGCAAACGTAAAGCACAATTAATCAATCTGACGCGCATCTCCCCCCATTTCCTCGTTTCGCCTTAACTAGCTCGAGAGATGAGAATATTTGATTTATATATTTATTTATTTATTTATTTATAGGTATATATATATATAGTGAAAAAACTAATCTGAAAATATCCCGAGAGAGTTTCTTCGAAAGGTTCGAGATCGTTTCAGATTAATTTCAGAATAATCGCAAGTTTTCAAGAAGATCGCAATATTTCTAGGAAATTCGGAGAATACTGCGACGGAGAGAGAGAAAGAGTGAAATAAACAAGATGCTCAGAATGTCCTAAAAATATATATGTTTCCGACGAACGTTCTCTTACCTCACGCGTCCTTAAATCGTCGTTACTGAAACTCGCACATCGACATACGACAGAGCTCACATAACTCGACTCGTTTGTTTTTTTTTTTTGTTTTTCATTTTCTTCTACTTACAAACTATTCACACGTACTCGCGTATACACTATAGATCTTTTATATTGTTGTGTATATATATATATATATATAATGTGCACATGTGTCAATGAAGATGTACGTATGTATGTCCTCTAGTGTCTCTGTATACATCTGCACTCTTGTATAATTTTTATTTTTTTTATATATATACATATATATATATATATATATATATATATATATATGCATATAGTAACGAGAACAACATTAATGATTTTTACTGGTTAGGCTATTTTTTAATCGGACAATAAATAAAATAGTCTATGTGTATACAGCATACATTCTCGTTTTCTGTTTTGCTCTTCACAGGCCGTGGGTGTCCCACACAATAATAAAACGTATCGACTCTTGTGTAATCGTTACGACATAAAGCACTCAATTGACAGAAAATCATGGTCTTGTGCGAGGATATCTCCGAAAGAAGAATTCAATTAAAAATTCAATTCGATTCTCACTCAGTAATTGTACATTGTATATTTTATAGATAATTGGTTTACTCGAGCAAATACATTCATTCGAATTGACTTGCTTTTTTTTTCTTTTACTTTATCGCGATATTATTAATAATTGATAATTAATTCCGCAACGGGAAAGTTAACAATCCCTCGTCGAGAGGCTGAAATTTACTTTATGAAACTTTTAACAACCACATTTTCTACTAATTTTTGCGTTACGACAGCTCCAAAGTCCCGAATATTTCTGAAACTTGATTAGCTCTCCCCTCTTCCCTTTCTCCGTTTTCACAGGAATTGTACTGTTTGCTCGAATCTTAGCTACTGCAGCAGAACAAGTTCTCGGGCCACCAGCTGCGGAGACCGAGCTTCTTCTCGGAGGAATCCTCGACCACTAGGACGTATCACTTGATCTCTTCTCTGCTGGGCGACCTTGGCGGGTGTGGGGACAACGGTGTGTCGTTCGGATGCCTCTTCGGCCGGAAGCTAGCTGTCAACGAGGATATCCACCCGCTTTGCGAGCCGTGTTCGTGTAGAGAATCGCTGTTGCTGTTGCTCCGGGTGCTGTCGATGCTCATGCCGGATTTGATTCGCGAGAACAAACCGGGCGATGATTTTTTCGTGGTCGCGGGTGAGGAAAACAAAGCGGAATGTTTTTTTCGTGACTTGGACACGTCCTTGCAGAGCATCGAGTCAAGACTGCCGGTATGAGGACGCTCTTCCGCTTTGTTAGGATCTAGCGAGCCCAGCAGTATGGCGGCTTCCGCTTGTTTCGCCATCTTGGAAATGTCCTCCATACTGGCCGAGCTTCTTCTAATCTCAACCTTGCCGAGATCCTCCTCGATGTCGCAGATACTGGTGTCGGGATTGACTATGATCTCGGGTTGTTTCTTCGGACGTACGTCGATCTCCTGAAACTCGATGTCCAGATTCTGCCGCGTCTTCACTTCCTTCATACTCTGCGACTTGCCTTCGGGATTTGACAAGTTTCTGCGATGTTTGGAAAACGAGCTGTCAGCACCGGCCGCCGGCAGAGCCTCCAAAGAAGTAGACGATCTCTTCTCTTTAGCAAACACCGTTCGCCAGCTTTTGTTCTTGCAGTCCGTAGACTTGCGCACCTTCGGCAGGGTCATCGCGCGTTTGTCCACCGACGAAAGCTCCACTACGGTCGCGATAGCCGCCTTGTTGCTGTCCTTGATCGACGACTTGGCAAGATTACAACGCTTGCAGATAAATAAGGAGTTATGATGCCTCGACGACGAGGTGGTCGAACCGCTGCTTATCGAATTGCTCTTGTTGAGCGTCTTCGACGCGTGTTTCGGTTTCGGACCGGGCGAGTCCTTGGAATCGAAACTGATGCTCAGACGGTCCGTGAAATTTCTCAATCGCGAAAGTAACGACTTGTTATTCGGCCCGGTTTTGTCGTCGCAGCAACATCGCAGACCGACCGATTCTCGACTACCGTGAGCATCTCTGCGACTCGATCTACTCTCCTGATCGTTTTCCATGACGCTGCTGATCTTCCTCACGTTGTTTATCGGCTGCGAGCGGGCCTCCGCCGCGACGACATTGCCGTTTCCCTCAGGCGTTTTGCCCTCGATTTTTACATCTAAAAAAACTGACTCGTCCTTTTCTATCTCCTCGACGATCCGCGTGCCTTCGGCAGACCTCGCGCTAACCGGTGAACTCAGGTCGCTGCCGAAGTTCTCGCCTCTGCTGCGTCTTCTCTCTCGCTCGTGATCACGAACGGCCTTGGCCAGGTCGTGATTGTGATAATCCAACGAGGATTTTTCCCGGCTGCCCTTCCGACTGCCGGGATAACTCTTGCGACCGCTGGTCCCAGACAGCGACCCCTCTGTGGAGATCTTGAACTTTAACGTTTTCTCGCTGATCTCCACCTCCGTCGCGGTTTCCGGATCGGAACTCTCGATATTCTCCACGTCTTCCATCATCAAGTTTTCCGTGATGTCATCGTCGGTCGAGCGTGAGCGCGAATGTACCGTGCCGGCGGACCTTTTTGAGCGCACGCTGTGCGACGATGTGGACTTAATGACGGCGGACGAGCCACCGATGGTGCCGCCGCTCGACGCGTTAGGCAGGGCTGACTCTCCGACGTCCACGACGCTCTTCCGATGATGACGCTCGTCTTTGGCAGCTTCGTTCAGTTTGCGATAATACTCCAGAGCTTCTCTGACCGGTTGAACTATGAGATCCTGAAACAAATTTTGGAATTTTGTTCCAATTCGTGAATTCAATGTAAATAACTCGTGCGAGTATTGTCGAGTGGAAAAAACATAGAGTACCTGCAATTCCGGTAGAAGTTCGCCAAGAGCCTCGAAGAGTGGGAGGAGAACTAGGCCGATGAAGCTAACCTGGGACGACGGTTTGGTCACCTTATCGCGATCCATAAAGGGTGTGACCGGAAGACCTTCGAGCTTCTCCGCGTCGCTCTGTTTAAAGAATTCTTGAAGCAATCTGTCCAACCACGGCTCCGCGACTTCCATCGGACGTGCCTCGTTGCTTATGTCGGCCACTTTGATCAGAATCATGGACAGCTGCAAAACGCAAAAAAAAATTAAATTTAAAAAATTATGCAAAGTGATTGATTTTTATTTCAATTGCAAACAAACTCACCAGATTTATGTGCGCCTTGTTGGTGTAATCGAATTCGGGAATGGTGTCGGTAAATTGGCCGAGAATCTCGTTGTGTCGGGCCATGTCGGTGGCCAGAATGCACCGTATAATGCCCTCGCGCACTATTCTGTACGTAGGATTGTCCAATGACGCGAGAATATTGCACTCCGGCGCTTCCAGTACCCGGAACGCCACGGAACAGTGATGGTTCTCCAGAGGTGAGATATCGTTGTAGCGTAACGCCAGCTCGGTCCGCGCGTTTATCTGGTAAATATTGTTGTAGCCTGGATGGTCAAGATCGTGGCAGATGCAGGAGACAATCAATACGAGGACCTCGAGGTCGCCTATCTTTGATGGCAGGTCCACCGCCCAGGCTATCGCGTACATCTGCGGCGAACATGTTAATTTTGCAACAGTGAAAAATGTCCGATCCACCCCACGGATCTGATTAATTAAGGAGATAGAGTTTTAGATTTTTTTTTTTTTAAAGAAACCTCAACTGTTTTTGTTTTTATTAAATAAATCGTTCAAAATAAATTATGTAAAACTGGTTTTTCATTAAATAATTAACATTTGTAGACACTGGTATTCTACAAATCTTGGAGCGATATAAAGGCAACGTATATTTACCATTTGCGCCACACAAAAGCAGTGCCTGAAATTGTGAAACGGCACCTCGTTGTAGTTATTGTAAACCTCGTAGAGGAAGTTTCGCAAAATCGGCAAGGGAATGTTGAACTTTTGAGGTAGGTCTAGCTCGACGAACATCGTCTGTAGCATCAGCAGCAGCTCCTCGTCCTCCCACTGTCGAGCGTCGAAAGCCGGCGAGCGGAGCCATTCGCGTACGCTCGACGAGATTGACACGTCACTGAGAATCGTACAAAGTGATACTCATAATCCATGTCCTGACAATCTGGCAATTTATACATTTTCCAATATGCTATTAATTTCACAATGAATCAATCAATTAATTAACGCGTGTTGGTGCAAAGCACCAACTAAATAATTGAATAAAAAGTGTCTCTTCTCCTGTTGCGATTAAAGTAAAATAAAAAAATATATATATTTCATTTATTTTTATTGATTATTTATATTTTTTTCTCGTTCTCTTTTATCTCGATATTTTTATACAACTGATAATTAATGTTACAATTGGAAAAATCCACGCGTGTGTGACAAAACAATTTTTTTTTTTTTTCCACCCTCTCGTTGGTATCTCGAAAAAATTCTAAACTGCACTCAATGCAATGAATAAATAATGCTTAAAAATAAATTAACGTGTAAAGTAGTTAAACTTCGAGACCGATCGATGACTCGCCAAGGATAAGCATTTGTGTGTTAATTATCACACACGAAAGTTCATTGTCGTCGATTGGTCACCTCGCTATGCGGGATTAATCGGATTAACACGTCATCACACTTTGATGAAGAGCGTCGGGCAACAGCTCTTCGTTACTTTGACAGATAATGGGTTATCTGGCACGGTCGGCTAAATCAACAACGAACCTGACCTACCGCACTGAGACGAGATCGGTAATATCGGAATATGGTGAGAATCGATTTGATGTGACACGCAGGCCACTGTATGTGTGTGTGTATGTGTATCAGCGAGGAATTCTGCTCAAGAGATGCAAAATATATGCAAATAATATAAATTTTATTTTTCGCACAGCCGCGTGACTACAGTGATTGGTGATCGTTTTACACTAACGCGTCGTAAACTCATTAAATTCATTCGCAATCCGATATTCGCGTATGAAATTTAAATATCGTGACGAAATATATAAATACGTAATTGCATACATATTTTCGTATAAAGTGTTACTTACGTGTAATTAATTATATTATACATTTAAATTTTTCATCCGGTGAGATGCGCGCGTGTTCAAAGATTCGATGACTCGTTATTGATCAAAATGATGGGCGATTTCGACGCAATCGATTTTTGATCAGCAAAACCAGTTCTCTCTGCTCTTTCTGCACGTATGTGCGAGTCAAAATGTAAAATTCAATAATTTCGTTCAATTTCTCGCGCTAATGATATTTTTTTCTCCGCGAACCGAAATTCTGATTATAATTATGAATTCTAATTACAAATTTCTCTATGTATAAAAATTTGATCGCGTAAAAGTGTATTTACGCACACAGCGCGAATAAAAAAACAAAACCAACCGAATTTTGTTTAAAAAAAATTACAAAAGTAAAAAACCAAAATCGTTACCACGTAAAATAAATTTTTTCATAAAAATGTTTTAACAAAACTGTGTTTTTATCGCGTCTATGCGATTAGCGCTGAGAGTCCTTGGCTTTCTCTCTCTCTGCCAACATTTAATTTGTTTTTTTAATTATCATTCAATCTTAGTGTTTAATATTTTATTTTTCGTTTCTCCTCTTTTTTTTGGTTGTGTTTATCATTTGTTTGTTTTTATGCGGTAAATTTTGTTTACTGTATTAACTTTTTCTTTTCCCTCATAATAAATTTTCCTAATCCCTACTTTTTTAAGACCTCATTGGTTTCAAACTTTCTTCATATTTTGTAATAAAAAAAATTGCACGATGTGCAGCCTTTGTATCGGATGTCCCAGAAGCGTCTTCTCTGTGTTTTCTCAGTCGCGGCACAGATTGGAATCGTGAACGAAGCGTTTGCGCGAAAGACATCTTTACGGCGACGCGGGCGCTTATTTACTGACAACCGCTAATTGGCAATCCGGCACGTCGAATCGCGGCGCGCGCGATAATGCGCTTTGTGACGCGTTCGCCATTATACATGGCCTAACCATGGCGGTCCTTATTACCTAGATAACGGTAGCTTAATAGCATTTCGCGGTAACGCGACAGAGGCCAACGCCAACCGCCGTCGTAGCTTCGCTCCGAAACCCGCGAATGAATGGAGGTGCAATGTGTGAGAGCATCTTCGGGTGTGTTCTCTTATTCCTCTCCTGGACCGTTTATTTTCCGCGGCGCTCTCTCTCTCTCTTGGGGATGTATTCGCGCCGGCATTCTTGCGCGTTCTTTCTTTCTTTGCCAGAGCTTCCTTGAATTCCCTTCGCATTTGCACGCGACTCGGAAAATGCGCACAAAAGCGTTCACGTTCCAATTTGTGTTCGTAAATCGTGCCGTTCGCGCGTCAAACATAATTACCGCTATGTAAAGTCGGTTACTTACTTTACTGCAGAATTAATATTATTTTTTTTTTACGTGTACGCGTGTTATTTTTCGCGGAGTATATATTTCTTTTTTAATTAAACATGCGTTTTAATTCAAGCGTTTTTTCGCACAACCAACCTTTTCCTACTCGGTCTTCCGCGACGATAAAATATCGCGTAATAAAAGGGCTCTGGGAACGAAACTGGAAGGAAAACGATTATTGCATGCGGAATTTACGACGCGGAAGTCTCGTCCGGAAACGCTTCAACTTTTCCCTCGCTGCTTTAAGGGTCATAATCGTTCGCGAGGAATCGCTGGTAAATTGCGATAAAACGGAAGCCCCGGGTTTAATGTGCCGTGCAAAGTCGCCGCCGAGTAATAAACGCTTCGAAGAGACAGAAAACGTGTTTTGTCGCGCGAGTAAATATCGCCCCAAACGAACGCAACGGCGCAATTTGCATGTCGATGCAAAGTGCGTGACTTGCCACTGCGCAACGTCTTTGCGGAAACACACACATCGCGAGAAAAGTATTTCATTCAATCGACGCGGCCGACGATCTTCTTTTCGCGCGACATTTAATAGTTTTTCTAACAAGCGGCAGATTAAAACGGCCAATTAGTACTTACACACAATGTGCGTGATTATATTTTTGAAAAATTATAATTTTGTATTTATTCATCTTCGAGATGTTTCGCGCGCGCGAATTTAATAACAAAATAAGATACAAAAATAAAAAATAGATTTTCAAAGTATATGTACAGTTGAATACATGTACAGATTTTCGAAGTATATAAATAAATTTATATTAAAAAATCTATATTTATTTGTTTTAATATAACTGCGTTATTATACACACACACATATAACGCGGTTGTTTAAATAAATAAATGTAAATGTATTCCCGTAAAAAAAGTTTTTAATTGTGGCTCAAATAATCCAACTATTAATCTTTTCTAATGAGATTACCGGAGAACTAAGAAGAAGAACTGAATTATACAACGTGTCGGTAAATCTCCGTTAATAGCAGGTTACATAACACTTATTACGTAACTTCATGATTTTCATAATAGGAAAAAAAATTAAAATTTAACATTCGGTAGAAAAAATCAAGAACTACTATCTTACATGTGATAATTTATTTTTGTTCTTGTTTTTTTTATTTTATATTAATTACATCAAAATGTTTTGCTTCGTTTGAGAATAAAATTTCAAAGAGATCTAACTTTTGCAAAATTAAAACAAATATCGTTACAAAAAACTACATATTTTTACTGGTTAGAACAAAATCACACAAAAGTAGCTTTATTTTAATTTTAAAGCGAAATAATTTTGGCAAGAACATAATTCGTTTGCATCACTTCGAGTATACTCAGAGAATTACGGCTCGTCTCTCGTTCGAACGCATCTGCGAAACTAAAAGTGCGAAACAGGATTAGATCCTTGAACTGCCAAAAAGTAACTTCTTGACGCGAGAGAGAGAGAGAGAGAGAGAGAGAGAGAGATCTTCTCAAGATATTTTTAGAGATTTAGAATTCAATTTTGTTAATGTTTCTTTAAAAAGCTTCTCCTCGACTGATATAATAAATCACGAGAGTTTAATTAGCGATGAAGTTGAATACGCGCGCGCGCGCGCGCATCATCTGTCATCATAGTGTTACACTTCAACGTCGCGCTTAATGAGGAAGTTTCCGGATGAAAATTTACAGCGCGCGCGTGCGAGATGCCACATTTTACGCGATTATAATAACGTTTAAGAGAGATAACTGCGTTTGCACCCGCGCGCGCGCGCGTTGCTGCGATTTCGCGCGCCCCCGTCCGCGTTATTACATTCATTTTGATATTGATTCTCACAGACGTCCCATTTCGACCGATAAACTGATTACCTGCCACGTATGCAAATTAATCTCGCGATCGTGTAACTGCGCTCGGGACGCGATGTTTTAAAGCCCCCCGAGCCAAATGAACCGCAAGTTTATCGCTTCACTTGTGTCACGCTACGCCCTATGAATATAAAGGAGAAAATTACGTTACAGAGAACACACGACAAAAGTATCCCACATGTATGTATACGCAATGCATATGCAGAACGGACGTTTACGCCGCGCAAAATGTTCCGCTTCAATATTTTTTTTTCCAAATTACTCGTTTTTCCTGTCTCTCTCTCTCTCTCTCTCTTTCTCTCTCTCTCTCTCTCTCATGTCAAATTCAATCCCGTTAATTTGAAAAGTTTCGTGTAAAAAAAAGCTCAAATAAAGATTACCACACAATCCAGAAATAACAAACTTTCTTGCGCGAGTTGAGGCGCGAGAATAAATGAAAAATTTAAAATTTAAATTTTACTTCGCGCCATCAGGACATCTCGCAGAACTTCCTGGCTAGAATTTATATACATATTGTATATATATATATATATATACAATTAAAATTTTTAATCCTACTTTTGAACTTTTTTTTCGGTCTTTTTCCAGCACCTCCTAAAATTCTCTCGTTAAAATTAAATCACATAAAACTCTATGTTTTGTTAAGTAGCATATTAGCAGACACGGTGGCAAACTCACTCGAAAAAAGATGCTGAAAAATTTTTAAACTTTTTTTAATATTTTACAATCGAATAAAATTCGTCAGACTTTTGAAGTGTCAAAAATAACAAACGGATTATTTTATCGACTATGAAAAATAAACGGGCGAAAAAAATATTTCGTACAAAATTTACGATACAT